CTGCAGAATTCTTCAGAGGAGCTAATTCATGTTACAGCTGTTTGTTGTTGTTTCATTTAATTTTTTTCACCTTTGTAAGAAAATAGTCTAACACCTCAAAATCTCTGTCAGTTCTAAATAAAGTTGCTCAACGTTGCCCCAGATACAATAAAATCACATATTAGCTCTTTATCTGACACTACTATAGGTTCAGTTACAGGACATTTTAAATGGCCAGTTTGAAAAAAAAAAAAAACCCAGAAGATTGTGTTGATATTTGACTTTGTCACAACCTCCCATCCTGGGCAGCACAGAGGTGACAGTGGAAAAGAACGATACTGTTTTAGGAGGAAGAAACTTCCATCAGAACCAGGCTCAGGATGAGCGTTACCAACTGAGCAGCTGAGCCTGTAAGCTTTCTGTATCGAGTCTTTAGTGTTGTCACCTCGCAGTGGTTTATCTGTGTGCAGTGGTTTATCCTAATGTCCTTTGGGCCCATGTGGTCAGTGACACCCACTGAACTGTGACACATCATGATGACAGATATGAACCACATTTTTAGGTGACACACTCAGGGATTGGTCCTAATGTAACAATGCAACACTTAAATGATGGAAAACGATTATTTGGTCAAACTGCACGTTGTCACTTCTTGAACTCTTTATAAACTCACTGAATCACATCATTTTCACTGTACATACAGGACAAACTGCAGGAGTTTATGGCTAATAACAGATATTCAAAATAAGACAAAAACAACTTTTTAAAAGAAAATTGCGTTGTTTAATTGTTGGGCTCATAAGCAAATAGCAATCATCAGTATGGTAATTTGATCTGTGAAGCATATAAGGAATCACAATACAACAAGGATTTCTAAAATATCTGATATTCTTTCCTAAATGAAATACGTAATTTTTATTAATACTATATTTTAACAAAAACAGATGCAAAAAGTCAGTTTTTACATTATTTAAAGACAACTATTACATTATTCTGGAAGAGGATTTTTTAATGTACTGGACTCTAAGTTGTTATGAAGTTTTCAAAGTTTCAATTAAACAATTCAATTTAAACATGGTACTAAATGTTTATCGACACTTTATCTGAGTAAATAGAGAGAGGCAAAGGTAAAAACACACAAACATGAAAATAAAACCTATAAACTATTAAAAACACTAAATAAAAAGTTCACTGATCCTTACAGCAACGTGGGACTGGATCATGGTCACAAAAATATCAAGTGTAAGTCACAAGCTTATATGCTGCTTTTAAATGTAATTATACTCATTAAACTAAATTAATCCAACTCAGATCAACGTTTTTAGACAAAAATATTGGTTATTACTGAAAGAAATGTTTGGGAAAGTTTTAGAGTAAAGGCTGTTGTGTGAAAACTGCTGCCACCTGCAGTCAACATCACATCACATCATCCATCCATGCTGCAAATTAGTTCTAATACGTCACAAAAATGCATTTTAGATCGAGCTGTRAGTGAAACAGTTAAATGTCGATGCTGAAAGCCTGACGCAGGCAAAGAGCCGATTCTGAAGGGATGTCCTCCCGGCTGATCTCGTTTCCTTCCAGTCGCAGCGTCTGCAGCTTGGAGAAGTTTGTCACATCCATGATAGAGCAGAAACTCCCCAAGGTGAACTCTAACAGCCACAAGACGAGAGGAAAAGGGTGATAAATTTATTTTACTGTCTGAGTTGTACACTGACATTACAGTAAGTCGTCTCAAACAACAAAAGCTGCATAAAATCTGGAGTTAAAAATCTGTATTTAAGGAGTTTTTAAGACGACAGAACATAAAAAGTCATTAAACAGCTAACAGAAATCATTTAAATGGTCTAAGTTTGACAGGAAATACATATTTTCGAAGTGATGTTTAGTCAGATAGTTATAATAATTAGTACATTATCAGGTGTGACATTAGTCATAAAGCACAATGGTTAATGGCTAACCAGAAATGTCTTGTTTTATGTTGTTTTACAAGCTAATAAAACAGCTCAGATGTGTTATATTAGTGTGAGACATTAGCTTTTAGACATCTGTACTTTTGCTTGAAACCATTTATTTGTTACTGTTTGCTCAACTGAACCATATTTCCTTTTACAACCTAAAGTTATGGACTCGCCACTCTTGGAGGATGTCTTTATAAGGGTTTAATTTTGCAAAAGAGAAAAGTAAGAAAGTCTATGACTTTTGGGCTGCACTATGTGATGTTTGTGTGCTGAGTAAACTATATATACTGTATGTTGGTGAGGTTGCTGAATGAATCAGTCCTACTGTTCAGCTGTTCCTACACTCAGCAGCATCAGGACACCAACAACTAACTACACAATTTATCCTCTGCATTCTTGTAACTGATTCTTGTTAACTGAGACAACAGCGACAAACTAAATGCAAAGTGTAATGGTCTAATATTAGCTAATGTAGAGTTCTTTCATATGTTTGAAAGAAAAGTTTATTCTGCTTGATTGAACATTTTTTTAAAGGTACTTCACACATTAATGTTTTATTGAGATGTCTGAACTATTTTTGATGATCAAATGTAYAATTATATATTTCTTATGTGATTAAGCTGTGATGAAACGGGAGTGTGTACTCTGTTTCGAGTGACTCTTGATGTGTGTCATCTCAGTACAGATTGCACTTTTTAAAGGGATAGATTAGCTAAAACTTGCCTCACGCAAAACAACAAACAGATTTTTCATCAGATTGCAGAACTTATCTTTAAGACCAATCTGCTTGGCAGGAATGGCCTTCCATATCAGTGATGTATTTTACCCCAGAGGAAATGGTTCCGTCAGAAGGTTGTGTATGAGTTGTGTGATTTCCTGGTTCTGGGCCAAAAACTCAGATACTTCCATCCAGCCAGTTTTTTGTCCAGCTAAAGGCTGTGTATGGCCTTATTCATTTGCAATCAAATGTAAGTGTTTCCTAACACTATGCGTAGCTATTAGCCTAGACTGGAGAAAGGTCAGACTGTCCCTTCAAAATAACCTTATGTCATATCCTACCTTTGATCTGATTGGCCTGCAGGTACAGATGCTTCAGCGTGGTACTGACAGACGGGATTCTCTCCAGTTTGTTGTAGCTCAGGTCCAGCTCCACCAGCCCGGTCACATTGAAAGTGTTGGGGGGGATTCCCTTGTCTGTCAGCTGATTGTGGGCCATCCTGACRTACTGCAGCTGAGCTAACCCTCTCAGGAAGTCTTCAGGCAGAGTGTTGATGTCGTTTGACTCCAGGTAGAACTGGTGCAGATGCTCAGGCAGAGCGTCTGGAACCTGTCTCAGTCATCATAAAAGACAAATGGTTGCGTGTTTTCCTAATTTGAAATGAGCAAACACATGCACCAGATGGAGGTCGACCTTTGTCATCTTGTTGCCACTAATGTCGAGCAGCGTGAGGGACCTGAGAGACTTCAGCGACGTGCCCAGATCTGTGATGGCATTGTCTTGAAGATGCAGGAAAGTGAGGTTAACCATTCCCTCCAGATCTGCAGGTGTTATCTAGACAACATGGGATTGATTTGAAAGTCTAAGGGTGCAGAATTACTACGCAAGAAAATGAAGCAGCTTGAAACATTTTTACCTTTTCTATCTTGTTGTGGTTGATTCTCAGATCTCTCAGCGTGCGAGGGAGGCTCGGAGGAATGCGGCTCAAGTTGTTGTGTTGGAGATATAAACGCTCCAGTCCCTCCAACTTCAAAAACACCTAAAAAATAAAATAAAATAAAAAAAGCATTTGTAAAAGCTGCGTGCAGATTTAAAAACAAATTTTGCTCTTCATATTTTTCAGGTTTGTTTGGGATTAATATAAAAAAGGGGTGTTTCCTAAATTATGAAAGCATTCCTTTTCTCATCATTAATGAGAATATAATAGACTGTGTTTGTTTGCACTGTGAGGCAGTCTTTAACTTAACCGTGGACATTCAGTACGTTGTGGGTTGAGACGTTTGAGGAGTAATAAATTTGCATATTTTGAGCAGGCTGCTGCTGAGCATCTAATTATTTTCCATGCAATCTGATGGTTAGAGAGCAGCTTTTATGTGGGTGAAAGTGTTTTATTGTGTTTACAATCTTTACTGAGGTGTTAGGAAAAAATTGTGAGCCATAAATATAGCAGACTTCCCAAAGTCTCTAAATTTTTTTGTTTCAGAATGGTGCGTTCACACCGAACGCGATTTCAGCTTCAAAATCGCAGCCAACGCTGGAGTTTGAAGCTTGTGCACTTTGAGGTCAGACGCAGGACAGCTGCACTGCACAGCGACAGCCGCCCCGCCCCTCCCTCCTCTGTGGGGCTCTGTTTAATGTCGGATGAGGAAGTGGCTTTGCTTTATTTACAGAGAGCCAGAGCATGTCACGTTCATCAGATAATTAATTCATAATTAGTTCACCAGATAATTCAGAGTAGAGGCTCACAGCTCGCTTTCAGGACTATTTTTCCAGTCTGATGAGTCGCTGCCACGCATTGCTGCGGATCAGGACTCTGACTGCAG